GTCAGGGGCACTGACCTCTTTTCCCTTAGATTGTCAAATAAAAAAGTGACACCACCAACACAGTAATAGCTGTCCAGTGTAAATGAATCAAAATTATACTTATTTTTTGTCAGATTGGCAAAAATATTTTTTGGTGTGCTGCAGAATTTTAGTAATTAGTTTATGTGTGCCATGAGATGGAAAAGGTTGAAAATGGCTGGGCTAGGGTGATGGGAACACTTAGAGTTGGGAAAAACAGAAAGAACAGTGACTTCAGCCTCTCAGATTTGGGTGTGGTGCTCAGAGCTGGGGCTCCAGTGACTTGATGCTGATGGTTGGGGCAGAAGGGTAAGTGGCCTTCATGGACCTCCTTCCAGGGGGATGGCTATCATCAGATGGGACCAGTATCGGAAACTATAAAATGCTAGCCCTATGTGAGGGGATTGTATTAAGCCAGGAAGTGTTTTGGATGGAAACCATAATAGTTACGGAAAGCAGGCTCTTCTCCTAATTCCCCGAAGACGATTAACAAGTGATGCGGTAATGATACCCCTATGCGTTGTTATACACGTAGGTTCCTACACTGTAAACGTAATAATAGAAAATAAACTATAAACTTGAACATTGTAGTCAGTGAAAGGTACACATTGGTTTTAGTTACCCTTTTCTGCCTCACATGAGGTAGGTGTGCAAACTACTATAGAGGATGCAGTGTGGGGTACAAACTAGTTTTCATTGAGTTCTTTGCCTGAGAGAGATCTACAGGGAAGACCATAGACCCACTGACTCAAGGCAGAAAGGGTGCTGCTCCATGGGTGATGTCAATCAAAGCAGGAGAGAATTTGATTTGTGGAAATGGGCTTAGGGGAGGCTTCCTAAAGAGGCCTGAACCCTCCCCCCACAGGACTGTATTGTAGTTTCAAGCATGAAGCCTATAGGCTTATATGAAATCGTGCTTGTGCTTGGATTCTTTGAATCTGGGTATGAAGCCCTCCTAACCTCCTCAACATTGTTTTAATTATTCAATCAAAAGACAGAAGCCTTAGAGTCACACAGATCAGGGTTCAAATGAACCACTTTCTAGCTGGTAGCTTTGGCACTCAAGTTGAACTTGCCTTTTCTCACGTGTCATGTTGTGAGGGTTTAATGAGGTCCCATGAAAAAATTCTTAACCCACAGTCTGGTGCCAAGGAGATCTTCAACTCATTGCAGTGATGGGCTATTGTACAGGTCGTGCTTGGGAAACAGTGGCTTTGCACATGCCTGCGATGACTCCAAGGCCCACAGTTTAATAACCTTATCTGGAGAGGAGGAGGGACACAGGTTGGGCGGGAGCAACTGCTTATGCTGAGTGTTGGGATGAAAGACTGCTCTTGTTCCTTTTTTTTCTTTCTTTCTTTTTCTAATTGTACAAACCAAAAAGTACAGGCTGTCATTTCATCTCTCACGTTTTAAAATTTTTATTTATTGATTTGAGAGAGAGACAAGAGGGGAGAGAGAGGAACATCAATCTGTTGTTCCACTTATGCATTCATTGGTTGTCTCTTGTACTTGCCCTGGCCAGGGATCAAACCCGCACAACCTTGGCATACCAGGACGACGCCCTAACCAACTGAGCTACCCAGCCAGGGCTTCATTTCATATCTTGCGTGGGCCTTGCTAGGGGAATATCTGATAAGTGACAGGAACCAGCAGTCCTGCCAGGTGCCCTCTCTTCAGAAATAAACAAGTTGTGTTTCTGCCTGACAAAGCATGTTTTGGTGCTCATGTGTTTCTCAGCGTGGGAGCCAGATGACAGCAAGGCCGAGCCTTACCTCTTCTGACTCACTATGGCCTAGGCAAGTCACTCAACTTCTCTGCACCTTGGTTTCTTTGTAAAATAGGCCACTTAGACAAGAAGCACTCTACATTTCTGAGATGTCCTGTGATTCCTAAGGAAGCTGGGCTCTGAACCTGAATCCAAGAGGGCTGTGGTTGAAGTATGCAGCCTTCATACTTATATGAAGTATTACTCTGTGATTCTCTCTGAACAGAAGACGTCTTGGGTTATGACCCTAGAAAGCTAAGATCCAGACCGTGTATGTACCTTAATTATCCCATCAAGGGGTCAGTGTCCTGAATCAGCCTCCACCCCTTACTCTTGTGCGCTTTCCCTGGGGGCCCCATAAAAGTGGCCCAAGGGAAAATCTGCAACATGAATGCCTCCTAACCCCAAGTATTTCAGGCTTTTGGAAATGTCTTCTGTCTTTTTGAGTCTACTGGACTCAATAATTTTATGTGTACTTTCTCTACATACCCACAAACACATGCACCAGTGATTTTATCCAAGGTGCTAAAAATGAATTCTCCCACCAATGTAGAGTACCTTGGGAGTTCTTTGTAGTTTGTGTCCTTGGCAGGCTGTAGACTCCTTCAGGGAGTATATGTTGGGTGGTGGAAAGAACATGGTGCTTTGTGGTATAATTACATACAGTAAAATGTACAAATCTTAAACGTACAATTTGATGAATTTTAACAAATATATACACCCATTACTCAATATCCCAAGATACAGAACTTGTCCAACACTCTAAAACAGTGCCGTTCAACAGAAATATAATGTGAGTGCATATGGAATTTAAAGATTTCTAGCAGCCATATTTAAAAAGTAGTAAGAACTAGGCGACACTAATTTTAATGATATATTTTCTTTAACTTAGTATAGCCAAAATATCATTTCAACATGTAATCAATCTTTTAAAAATTGCTAGTGAGCTATTTTACACTTTTCCCATAAAATCTCCCAAATCTGGTGCATATTTAACCCTTACAGACCACCTCAATTCAGACTAGCCACATTTCAAGTGTTCCAGAGCCACATGTGACTAGTGGCTACCTATAGATAGATAACACAGCTCTAGAAATTTCTCTTGTGCCCCTTTCCAGTCAATTCCCTTCCCCAACCAGAGGCTACCAGTGTTCTGATTTCTAATCTCCACAGGTTAATTTTGCCTATTCTTGAATTTTAGAGTATATACTCTTGTGTCTGGATTCTTTTGCTCAAAAACCAAGGGATGCTTTTGGAAGGAGCATTGACCTTGACAAAAATTCATGAAAGTGTGTGTTATACATTAAACAGTTTAGCTTTCCTTGATAACCATGGAGACAAGGACATGGTCTCATCTGCCCAATATTTCACCTCTTGGGTATGGCAGCGAAAGGGCAAGCTGAGAAGTGAGCGCCCCAGAACAGTTCTTACAAATGTGTCAAGGGGCCATCCCAGCAGAGAGTGGTGGGACAGTGTGGTTTCCATGCCCACTGAACTGGGCAGCCCAGTTACACCTTGTAGTCCCCAATATTATATAATCTAAGAACTTTTTATTTTGAGATAGGGACATTCACTCATTCATTTATTTTTCAATCTTCTCCGGAGGATATTTTTTTCCATTGCTTTTCAGAGAGAGTGGAAGGGAAAGAGAGAGAGTCACATCGCGGTGAGAGAGACACATCAATTAGTTGCCTCCCGAAAGGCCAGGGATTGAGCCTGCAACCGAGGTATGTGCACTTGGCCAGACTCGAACCTGGGACCCTTCAGTCCGCAGTCCAATACTCTAACCACTGAGCCAAACGGGCTCGGGCAAGCTATGAACATTTACATGCAGTTGTAAGAAATAATAGAAACAGGTCCCATGGACCCTTTGTCCATCTTCCTCTAATAGTAACATCTTGCAAAACTGTAGTCCAGAGTTACAGTCAGGATACTGACACTGATACAGTCAAGATACAGAACAATTCTATCACCACGAGGATCCTCCAAGGTTTCCTTTTTTCGCCACAGTACTTCTCTTCCACCTCCACTCCTTCCTTAACCTCCAGCAGTCTGTTATCTGTTCTCCATTTATATGAATGCAACCTTTTGGGATTTTTTTTCCACTCAGCATAATTCTCTGGAGATTCATCCATGTTGTTTTGTTCATCAATAGTTCCTTTCTTTTTATTGCAGACAATATCCCTTGATATGGGTGTGTAGTTGGTTTAACCATTTGCTCACGGAAGAACATTTAGATTGTGTACAGTTCTTTCCAATGGGCTGCTATAAGCATTGGTTGTACAGGTTTTTGTGTGAACATATCTTCATTTCTCCGGAAACATAATTCTTCATTTCTTTGGGATAATTGCCTAGAAGTGCAATTGCTGGCTCATCTGGTAGTTGCATGTTTAGTTTTGAAAGAATCTGCCTGTTTTTCAGAATGACTATACCATTTTACTTTCTCACTAACAATGTATAAGTGACCAGCGTCCTTGCCAGTATTTGGTATTGTCACTATTTTTATTAATTATTAATTAATTAATTTTTACATGTTTTTATTGATTTCAGGGAGAGGAAGAGAGAGAGAAACATCAATGATGAGAGAGAGTCATTGATCGGCTGCCTCCAGCCCACATCCTGGGCATGTGCCCTGACCAGGAATTGAACCGTGACCTCCTGGTTCGTGGGTTGACACTCAACCACTGAGCCACGCTGGCTGGACGCTGTTTTTGATTTTTGACATTGTGATGGGTGTATAGTGATATTGTACTGTAGTTTTAATATGCATTTTCCTAATGGTTAATGAGGTTGAATATCCTTTCATGTGCTTTCTTGCCATCTATTCATCCTCTTTGGTGAAATATCTCTTCATGTCTTTTGTCTATTTTCTGGTTGGATTGTTTGTTTTATCACTGTTGAGTTTTCAGAGTTCTTTATATATTCTAGATACTGGTCCTTTATCAGATTTGTGGTTTGCAAGTATTTTCTGACATTCTTTAGCTTGTCTTTTCCTCTTAACATGATCTTTCATAGAACAAAAACTTTTAATTTTGATGAGGTCCAGTTAATCAGTTATATGGATTGTGCTGTGGCAAGTCTAAAAACTTTTTGCCTAGCCCTAAATCCTGAAGATTTTCTCCACATTTTTTTCTAAATGTTTTCTGGTTTTATGTTTTACATGTAAGTCCATGATCTATTTTGAAGTTGTTTTTTTCTAAAAGACTTCAGTTGCAATTCTTTTGTTTTGTTTTGCAAGGGAGATGGAAGAGGAAACCTGCCTCTCATCTGCCTTGAGCTAGGAGATGGCATTGGTACATTTAGCTTGAACTGTGTCTCACACAAGAGTCAGTGTGTTGACTGAGGACGGAGGCTTGCCTGTGAGTATAGCACATGAACCTCATTGCATACATGTTAGTCTTGCCCTGGCCCTTCACACAACAGGTGCTGTGGGTCTCATCTGTCCATGCCAGGAAGTTACTACATCTTTTGAAGGTTTTACATACCCTTTCTTAGATCATCAAGCCTCTCATATTTTGCTTCTTTAAAATTTCATATGCAGCCCTGGCTAGCATGGGTCAGTGGTTAGAGCGTCGGCCCGCGCACCGAAGGGTCTCGGATCCCCAGTCGAGGGAATGTACCTGGAATGCAGGAGGCAACCAATCAATGTGTCTCTCTCACATCAATGTTTCTCTCTCTCCCCCTCCCTCCCTTCCATTCTCTCTAAAAATCAATGGAAAAAATATCCTTGGGTGGGGATTAACAACAACAAAAAATTTTCATATGGAAAAAAAATTTTCAAACCCCATTATTGTGACCACGAGTAGCAACCAAGAATTGCCGTTTCCCCACATCCTTGCAAACGCTTAGTATTGCTGAATATTAAAGTGTTTGCCACTCTGGTTGGGGTGAAGGGTATCTCATTGTGGTTTGAACTTACATTTCCCTGATTGCCAGTGAGATTGGGCATCTTTTGAAATGTCTTTTGTGAATACTCTATTCATATTCTCTGCCCATTTGTTGTGTTAGATTACATGTCCATATTGATTTGTAGGTTTGTTTGTTTTTCTAAAATACAGGCTGAATACTAATCCTTTGTGTCTCATATATAAAATGAATTTGTAGACCTGGGACAGGTAGCTTAGTTGGTTAGAGTGTCATCCCGATACGCCAAGGTTGCAGGTTCGATCTCTAGTTAAGGAACATACAAGAAGCAACTAATGAATGCGTAAAGGAATGGAACAACAAATCGTTGTTTTTTTCTCTCTCTCTCCCCTGTCCTCTCTCTCTCTAAAATCAATAAATAAAATAAAATTTTAAAAAAAAAATGAGATTTTTAAACCTAGGCAGTTTCTTATTTTTTAGCTTTGCCGATGTATGTTTTTCTTAGGGCTAGGGGCCAGCCTGGCATCAGATGCCCTTGGGGTAGGGGCAGAGATCAGTTCAAGACCCGGAACAAAAGCAAGCCATTGCTTCAGTTTTGTTTCTAAAGCCTTTCTGCTGGTGGCTGGCGTGGCACCTTGCCCACGGAGCAGTGATTGGTCTCAGCGTGTGGCATGTTTCTGCAGACCCACAAGTCCCTCACATTTACTCACCCTCCTTGCCTGGTGACCTCTAAAAGGATTAAGAGGCTTTGTTCAGGATCTGGGGAAATTCTCACTCCAGCCTCCAGCCTGGGGCAGAATCTACCTGCAAGCCTCTGGCCCAGGTCCTAAGCACCTCTACCCAGCAGGTAATCTGACGGGAGACAAAACAAACAGCTTCTCCCAAAGTGTTTGCTCAGGTAACCTAATCGCCCCTGCTTCCCATGGCTACTCAGGGTCCAGCTCTGCCTGTGGCCTCGGCCTGATCCTTTATGATCCTTGGTGCCCAGAGAGGCCTCAGGCCTGGACTTTAGTTGTCAGTCCTGGAAAGTCCCAGAATGTCACAACTCTTTCACCGGAGTTCCCTGAACCAGCAAGCCCATATTTTCTGTCCAGCTCCTGCTTGAAGGCCAGGCTGGCCTGGGCAGGGCTGATGCTGGGACACCAGGCTTTCCAGGTTCGTGTAAACAGGGGCTGTGCAGTGAGGATGCAGGGCCGTTACCTTTTGTTCCAGGCGAGGTGTGCAGGAACCACGAGAACAGGACGGTAAGATCAGCAGCAGCGAAGAAGATGAATCAGGTCCACGAGTAAACAATAAACAGCGTGTGCTTGAGGGCAGAGACGTGGCGGGGGCCAAGCCTGTGGCACCTGGAGGGCTCCGCTGCGGGGCCCCAGGGGGCTGTGGGCGGGCTGCAGGGTAAAGAGCAGTACACACAGAAAGGGTCCAGGATTGCCACCCACCCGAGGTGGACCCTTAAGAAAATGAACCTCTTACTCTTCATCCATAGAAAGAAATAGTCCCTTTTTTATTAATCCTCACCTGAGGATATTNTGAACCTCTTACTCTTCATCCATAGAAAGAAATAGTCCCTTTTTTATTAACCCTCACCTGAGGATATTTTTTTTTCTTCTTTTCCTTCCTTCCTTCCTTCCTTCCTTCCTTCCTTCCTTCCTTCCTTCCTTTCTCTTTCTTTTTTTAAAAAATTGATTTCAGAGAGAGGAAGCGAGAGGGAGAGAGAGATGGAAACATCAATGATGAGAGAGTCATTGATCGGCTGCCTCCTGCACGCCCCCGACTGGGGATCGAGCCCACAACCGGGGCGTGTGCCCTGACTGGGAATCGGACCACGATCTCCTGGATCCTAGGTCGATGCTCAACTGCTGAGCCACACCAGCCGGGGGGGGGGTGTCCCACCTTTTGTTTACCCATCGTCCATTGCTGACATTTGGGTTGTTTCTTTTGGTGATTGTGAACAGCACTGCTACGCACTTTGTGTACAAGTCTTTGTTCGAACGCCTGTTTTCAGTCCTTTCGGGCATATACCTAGGAGTGGAATTGCTGGGCCATATGGTAACTCTGTGTTTGACTTTTGGGAAAACCACCACCAAACTGTTTTCCACAGTGACCGCCCCATTTTTCATTCCCTGCAACAGTGCGCAAGGATTCCAGTTTCTCCGCATGCTGGCCAACACCTGCTATTTTTCTTTTTTTAATTATAGCCTTCCAAGTGGGTGTGTAATAGCATCTCATTGTGGTTTTAGTTTGCATTTCATGTGCTTGATGGCCATTTGCATATCTTCTTTGGAAACAATATCTATTCAAGTCCTTTGCTAATTTTTTAATTGGGTTGTTATGTGCATCATTATTAATTCATTTATTTGGTCATTCACTGTAAGGCACTGAGAGTGAACACACCAGATGCCAAAAACGACAAGTCGAGCAACTTTTTATGAAATCAGATCTGGCAGCAGATCTGGGTCTGAGTTCACCTGTGCCAACTCCGCAAGGTAACTTTAGATGAGGCTGTGCTTTGTCACCAGTCCCCTCACAGCTCCCACCTGGCTGGTTCACACAGCTTCAGTTCCACCTGGGGCCTTGTGTTCACAATAACCATCCTAGTAGCTGAGGCCTTACTAAATATGTATTTACTTCAGTTCTTTGAGTTGAGAGCAACTGGGACTGCTGGCTATGCTCCAACTTCAACACATTTAAACAAACAAATGACTTGATCTAAAACCAAATCTCTTTATTGTCCTTTTCAGGTTTACATGGGATATTTGCCACACTGTTTAAGAAAAGAAAAAGAAGTGGCCCCCTTTTTTGCCCAGGGCCCCTGTGGTGTGTTGGAGGAAGCAGAATCAGTTCTGTCTGAGCTTGAACTTTTTGCAATGATAGGAGGTTCTGAAGTTTATGAGCAAATTGCTTTGATAGGAGTTTCTAGAACTCTTAAGTCCTTTGAAGGAGCCACCTGTTTCCACCTCCACCCCGCCCTACCCCAGCCCCAGTTTCTTGGGTTCAATGAGTAAACAATTGTGGAAAAAATCAAATTGAGATTAGACAATCTCTAGTGACCAGATAGGAGGTAAACCCAAAACCTAGAGCACAGGAATGCCCACACTACTCCTTTCTCCCCGATTCCTGTGGGAGTATGTGGCAGTCATCCTGGGTTCTCCACTTTGGGCTCAGCTGTTTGCTGCCTGGGTAGTCCACTTGGCATCTTTGAACTTCGGTTTCCTTATCTACAGAATAAAGAGTTCATAATTCCTACCTTTGTTTTTTTAGGATTTGCTTAGTGTCATCGACATAAGAACGTCCAAGCTGTAGAGAATTTTTATAAAGATTTATTTGAGACAAAAAAAGAGAATACACCTGGAAGCAAGATCTCAACAGACTTCATAAATGCTTCAGAGAACAACAGTTTGCAGTTTCTTTTATGCATTTGAAATTCAGGAGGGACGCTAAGGAGGATTACATGGAGGTGGGAGAAAGCAAGGTAGGGATTGGGTTAATAAGATTATGTGCCCCCTTGGGGGTGGTTATTTTTATTTCAAAGGTTGTGTTAACCTAGATGCACAGAAACAATGGACAGGCTTATTTAAGGCAAAGATAAACCTGTTACTAAAGAAGTTATACGCTTGGTGCACAACTACGCACCATGACCTGCCCAGGTAGGAATTTATGGTCAGATCACCCTACTTTCCATAGAACCTCCTTTTTTGGCCACAGTGCATAGCAGAGAAAACCAATTTCCCTTTTGCTTAAAGGAGATGGAGCTACTTTTTCTGGGAGACAGCCAGTCTGTAGCTTGCATGGTGCATCCTGCCGTCAGACTCCAGCCCCCTTCTGTCTTGCTGCTCTGTGGTGTCCAAGCTCACCAGGTAGTCCGAGATAGCTGCCATTCTTTTCATGTCACAAGCTGCATTCATGCTGGCCAGAAAAAAGAAGAGATGAACCTTCCCTTTGAGGACTCTTCTCAGAAGTTACACCCACTACCTGTCTTTAAATCCCATTGGCCAGCCTGACCAGTGTAGGTCAGTTAATTGAGCTTCATCTCAGGTACCAGCAGGTCGCCAGTTCAATTCCAAACCTGTCAGGGCTCGATCCCCAGTAGGGGGCATGCAGGAGCCAGCCGATCAATATTTCTCATTGATGTTGCTCTCCCTCTCCCTCTCCCTCTCCCTCTCCCTCTCTCTGAAATGAATAAAAATATATATACATATATATACATATATACATATATATGCATATATACACACACACACACACATATATATATAATCTCATCCGCCAGAACTTAACCTTTGGGCCAGATCACCTGCTGGGGAAGCTTGAAAATGTGGTCTCTATTCCATATGGCCAGAGAAACATCTGCGGGTGTATTGTTAAGGAAGAAGGGGCTGTTGGAAGTCTCTGTCACAGCATCTATCAGAGCTGCTGGGAGACAGAGGAGATAGCACATGTGACAATTGAACTGGATTTTTTTTTTTGCTTGTAAATCGTCCTGTTCATTTGCAAACTAGGTTTTCCAAGAGGCCACTGCCCAGTCTGAAAATAATGGTGAAAGGGGAGAAAACCAAGTTACAAACCAAATAGGACTGTGGGTCATTGTGAGAATAGGAGAATGCCTGTTGTGAAACAGACACACACACACCCGCCGCCACCACACACACACACACACACACACACACACCTTCAATGCTTTGTTGCACAATGAGACCATTAAACTGGCAGAGATTTGCGCTTTGCTGCCTCCTAATCCAGAGGCTGGGCTGTGTGAGGTGGCCTGCTTGGCCTTCAAGGGCAGTGGTTATCCACTGACTGTGGAAAATGTAGGTATAATTATGATTCACCAGTTGTAAGCAACAGAAACCCAACTAAAATTGTCATTAATTAATTAATATTTTAGATTCCACTTATAAGTGAGGTTATGCAATATTTGTCTTTCTGTGTCTGGCTTCACTTAGTATAATGTCCTTCATGTTTCATTCGTGTTATCACAAATGGAGTTCAGCTACTTTTTCCCCCACAAACTGGGTTAAATTTAGAGGGGCCCTGGCTGGTGTGGCTCAGTCGGTTGGGTGGTGTCCCGTGCACCAAAAGATTGTGGGTTCAATTCCCTGTCAGGGCGCATGCCCAGGTTGTGGACTTGATCCTTGATAGGGGGTGTGCAGGAGGCAGCAGATCAATGTCTTGCTCTCACATTGATGTTTCTCTCTCTCCCTCTCCCTCTCACTCTAAAAAAAAAAATCAATTAAAAATATTTTTTAAAAAAACATTTTTTAAAGAACATATTAAAAATGTTTTTTAAGAAGGAATTTATTGGCTTTTGATAGTGAAAAGTTCCAAGGTGGGTAGACTTACATGGCTGGGTCTAGGGATTCAACAACCTCAGGATTAAGTTGGCCACTGTGTCTCCCTGTTTCTGTTTCCCTCTGTCTCTCTCCTTCTCTCTCTACTTTCCCCTGTGTTGGCTTTCTTCTTAAGCAGGTTCTCTCTACATACTTGCTCTTGCAACTATGGCTTTGGCAAACCCAAAGAAAAGAATATATCTATTTCCCAGTGGGCAAAAATGGGTGCCCTTACTGATCTAGCATAACCAAATCAGGGGGCTTTGGCTAGAAATAAGTGATGAAGTTTTATTCAAGGCTCTTAGGATTTTCAAACCATAAACACAACTAGGCAATATGCAGAGTGTTCAAAGAAGAGTAAAAAGCTTAGAGATCTCATAGTAAAAATTGCATTCTTGAGAATGAATTCTTAGCTCCTGGATTGTTCTGAGATGCTAATCTTCCAGATATCCAGTGGACACACAAACTTTCTTTCAGGGGATAACTAGAGGGTCATCAGGAGGATATCCATATAAAACTTTAAGTTCCTGGGCTAGTTAAAGCAAGAATAGAATCATTTCCTCATGCCTCAGCCTACTTGATTTTAGCAATTTAGCAGCTTGACTGGAGTGACTCCGTTTTATTTCTTCACTCTATTCCTCACCCTCTACAGTATGCCAGTGAGGTAAGAATGTAGGGTACGCAGTCTTTCTTGAGGGGTGACCACTGGGAACCACCTCAGCAGTTCTTTAGGTTTATCAACCTGTGGACAGTAATGAGTGTGGACTCACAGGATCTCAGTCCCCTGCAATTCTTGGCTGTTTTCTGCCCAGAACACCTGCAGGAACCACCCAGCTTAGGTGGCTCACCACAGCCCTTTGAGAAGATTGTTTGGAGAATTCAGATGACATTCCCTGGAGAATTATCCCTGATTCAGACCCCGAACTTTATAGGTGGGGAAGCTGAGGCCTAGAGAGGATAAGTCCTGTGTCTTAATTTGGATTCCCCTGAGAACAAGGACTTGGGTGCTGGTGGTTTGTTTGTGATCCTAGGAAACAGGAGTGAGAGAGTGGGAAGAGAGGAGAGAAAGAGATGCCAATATCGGCTGTGTTATTAAAGCTGTCACCGCAGGCAACCATGGTTTTACTCACCAGGACCTCTGAGAAGGTACAGCTGCCTCCCAGAACTGCCCCGCTGCAGAAAGGGAGACTTGAGGAGGTCCCTGAGCAGACAGACTCCCAAGGAACTGTCGCAGCAGCTGAAACCAGAGATGCACTGAGGAGATGTGACCCGGGACACCTACGGCATCTGCCACAGCCACTCACCCAGCCAGCAGCACAGCTCAGGCCTCCCACCCCACCTAGTGCTTGCTGGCTCCTTAGAGAGCTGCAGCAGCCCCCCACTCAGTCCCCCACTGTGTGACTCATCCTTCCCTCCCCAGCTCTAGCTCAGGAGTCAAGCCAGGGCCACCTCCCCATCTGTCCGCATCCATACCCACCCTTCTGTGAGATGGCAGCGGTTCCTCTCCCTTGTACAAGGTAACCCAGTTTTGCTTCCCCCTGCCCTGTATACCTTGTTTTCCCCAGAAATTCTCCCCACAAGCCATAACCGATCAATCAGCGAAAGATAGCCATGGTATTTTTAGCAGCTGCAGAATTGAATCATCAGGATTGGGCCTCGGGGCCCACACCACCCAGTGGTGGCCTGGAAGGCTGGAACCTGGAGCATGCCCTCTGACGGGGACTGTTATGCTCCTACTAGGCCTGGGTGGGAGCCCAGCTGCTGTCACCCAGGGTGGGCAAGCGAGCACACTGGCCTAAGCATGTGATACTTGGACTTCTGGAGACCTTTTTCGGTTTTGTTTCTTTAATAATTAATAGACTTATTATTTTGCTGTTAACCCTCACCCAAGGTTATTTTTTCCATTGATTTTTTAGAGAGAGTAGAAGGCAGGGAGGGAGGAAAAGAGAGGGAAGGGGGAGAGAGAGAGAGAGAGAGAGAAACATCGATGCGAGAGAGACATTGATTGGTTGCCTTCCCACACCCCCCGATTGGGGCTGGGGATGGAACCTGCTACCCAGGTATGTGGTCTTGACTGGGAATCGAACCTGCGACCCTTCGGTGTATGGGCCAATGCCCTACCCACTGCTCAGGGCAATAGACTGGATTTTTAAAGTACAGTTTTAGAGTTACACAATAACTGAGCAGGTCCAACTAGAATTCCATATACTCACCCCACCCCAGACACAGTTTCCCCTGTTATTAACATCTTGCATTAGTGTAGTGCATTTGTTACAATTAGTGCACCGACATGGATACACAATTATGGACTAGAGTCTATAGTTTACATTAAGGTTTACTCCTTGTGTTGGACTATTCTGTGGGTTTTGACAAATGCCCAGGGGCTTTTTTATCAGGGTGTCGTGTCTGGGATGAGGCCTTTGTTCTTAGCCCTCTCAGGCAACCTCTCTGCTTAGCCAAAGCAATGTGATTTGCCTCAGTTTCCTTTCCCAGTGTTTTTGCACCAAGGCTCCAGGCTGCTGGCACTGAGTGGAGACTGGAGAGTAGGATGGGAAAAAGACCCTTCTCTCTGACTAAGGACAGGAAGTCAGATTCTGGTTTGGGTCTCCCAAGGGTGAAGCAGCCCCTAAGCTCAGGGGCGATGGTTCCTGGGGATGGGGCAGATCTGACCGTTTCTGCAGTGGTCCCTACCACTTCGGAAGCAGCCTACCTCCCAGCTGGGTGTGCCAGGGAGGCCTGGCCTGGAGCAGTGGCACCTCTCCCCACAGTTCCGGAGACGAAGATCGCACTGCCCCCCTGCCTATCGGAGGCCTTAGCTACGTCCAGGGCTACACCAAATTTCGTCTGATCAACAAGACCGTGGGACATTGCCTGGATGCCACAGCACAGAGGTTCCCGGACCGAGTGGCCTTGATTGTGGTCCATGAAAACATCAGGATGACCTTTGCCCAGCTCAAGGAAGAGGTGGGTCATGACCTTAAACCCTGAACGTGGGAAGGTGCTAGCCCCCAGGCTTTCCTGGCTGGGTGGAACCACAAGGGCGGCACCTGACCGTGGGGCAGGGTGTTGGGGCTACCAGAGAACCCCAGGGGACGTTAGGAGATGGGGACAGGACTGAGGCAGAGGTGGCCCAGATGCCTCCTGCGTCAGTTACGCTGGGGGCACTTAGTAACTCTGTGTATTCCATGCCTCACTCCAGATCCACTAAAGCCTTGTTCCTAGGTGACTCTGATGTGAACCCCTGGGCCGAGGGCTGAGGCAGGAGTCAGAACCCCTTCCTGCTTGCCCACACCTTACCCTTTGTGCCCTATCTGTTTACACCAGGTGGACAAAGCTGCTTCTGGGCTCCTGAGTATTGGCCTTCGCAAGGGTGACCGGCTGGGCATGTGGGGACCCAACTCCTATGCGTGGGTGCTCATGCAGCTGGCCACAGCCCAGGCGGGCATCATTCTGGTGAGGAGGGGCTGACCTGGCACAGCTGGGTATGCAGGGGGACATCATTCATCGCAAGCCCACTGGCCTCTTGGTCTCAGAACCAAACAAGGGCCTGTATGGGTATTTGGGTTGCTTTCTCCTGAAGCTACCAAGGGGAACCCGAGGGGCAGGGTGCCACCTCTGTCTACACCGTGTTTCTGTGCCTACTGAGGGTGAAGGGGTAACGAGAGGGACGGGGTATGCCCAGGACACTGACATACCCTTGCTGTCTCCACCAGGTATCTGTGAATCCAGCCTACCAGGCTATGGAACTGGAGTATGCCCTCAAGAAGGTAGGATCCGTTCCTGGGGCCGGGGCTGGGCGGGTGCCTGGAACAGGGGACTTCCAGTTGTCACAGAGGGCTGATGGGGTGGGCTGGGTATGCACAGGTGGGTGATACCTGCAGTCTGTCCTTCCTTAGGCTGTGAGTGGGTGGGAGGAGGAGGGAGCTGGGCAGATACAAAGCTCGTGTATGTGCTGGGGCATGGTGCACGTGTGTGTCGTGGCAGTGGTGTGTGAGTGAGTTGGCATGTGTCAGGGAGTGGTGCACGTGTGTGCCAGGGCAGCGGTGCATGTGTGAGAGAGAGAACAGCTTTTAGAGTGGACTCCACTACATTCCAGTGTGGGGCTTCCTGCTGACTGGGGAGGGGACTCCCTTCCACAGGTGGGCTGCACAGCCCTCGTGTTCCCCAAGCAATTCAAGACCCAGCAGTACTACAGCATCCTGAAGCACATCTGCCCAGAGCTGGAGAAGGCCCAGCCGGGGGCCTTGAGGAGTCATAGGTGGGGATGTCCCGGGTTGGGAAGGGTGTGTTATGTGGCATCCTGGCCCCCTTGCCCCCTACCCATGCCCAGGGAGGAGGCTGTTGTCTGTGGGCCCTCCCTCAGCCCCTGACTCTCTTCATGCTCCCTACCCTCAGGCTCCCAGATCTGACCACAGTCATCTCAGTGGACACCCCTCTGCCAGGGACAATGTTCCTGGATGATGTGGTGGCAGCTGGGAGCAAAGAGCAGCATCTGGCTGAGCTCCGATACGCCCAGCAGTTCCTGTCCTGCCATGACCCAGTCAATATCCAGTTTACCTCGGTAAGGCAGAGGTCTTTAGGACACACGCCCAGGCTGGCATGCTAACCCCTGCCTGTCCCTGTGACCCTTCCCCGAGACTGAGGACGCAACTAAGGTCAGGAGTGCAGACACCCTTCTCCTGGGGCTCGCCCTAGCGGTCCTCTCTGACCTAGAAGACGTCAGCAACTAGTGTCCTTGCCACGTGTCCCCTTCCCCTGGCTCTCTTCTCCCCAGCACAGTGGCAGATGCACTGTGCCACCGCAGGTCAGAGCTGGTGGAGCCTGCCCCCTCATTTAGCAGATGGGGAAGTTGAGGCCCAGAAGCAGAATCTGCTGCTAGGTCACAGAGTTCTCAGTGCCGCTTTATGAGTGGCATGGAGGACAGAGACCTTAGATTCCACATTTCTGGATCCTAACACCTGGCGCCATGAAGGCACGTGATAAACTTTTGTGAACGTGTATTGAATGAATGAACGGGTCTGAGGCAACAGTCCCAGTCTCCTGACTCCCAGTCCAGTGCTCTTCTATATAGGGCATGAGGAGATGGGGAGACAGAAGAGGCCAAGTGTCACCTGTGTGTCTTCTCAGGGGACGACAGGCAGCCCCAAGGGAGCCACCCTTTCCCACTACAACATTGTCAACAACGCCAACATCATAGGGGAGCGCTTGAGACTGCACCTGCAGGTGAGGGGGCGCTGGCGCAGGCTTGCCTGCACCCTGCATGGGTGGGGGTCTCCCTGGGCTCTCCCTGCCGGCTAGAGGAACTAGCTTCTGGGGCTCCTGGCTCCAGGACAGACCTAGCCTCCTGCCTCCATCTCCAGACACCAGAGGAGTCACGGGTGATCCTGCCCAGCCCCCTGTACCACTGCCTGGGTTCTGTGGGGGGCACAATGGTGAGCATGATGCACGGTGTCACCCTCGTCCTGTCCTCCCCGATTTTTGATGGCAAGAAGGCGCTGGAGGCCATCAGCAAAGAGAGGTGGGCATCAGTGGGCAGCTACCTACCTGCTGGCTCATGAGACCCTCCTATTCCTCATGCCTGGGCCCTGATCCCCCTCCAGGATGTCTCCCCCCTCCAGCCAGGAGAGATGGAGACTGGGCAGTGGGGGACTGCAGGAGAGCACCGGCGCCTGCCTCCAAAGAGCTTCTCCTGCCTGTTTCCCACAGTTGTAGCCTTGGCCCTTACTACGGGCTCAAGGTGGGTGGGTGAGAAGAGGGAGTTCCCTTCCACATCCAAGCCTGATTTTGAGATGCTCCCCCCCCATACAGAGGCTCCTTCCTGTATGGCACCCCCACAATGTTCGTGGACATTCTGAACCAGCCAGACTTCTCCAGTTACGACATCTCATCCATGCGTGGAGGTGGGATGGGGCCAAGGGTGGTCAGGCCAGGATTAGCCTGGGTGAGCTAGAGGTACAACCAGTCCTTCATGGAGGGGGCAAAAAGGTCACTGAAGAAACATGGGTGGAAGGGAGGCAGATTCCTAGCCACCCTGGGCACCAGCCCAAGGCCAGCTGCCAAGTGTAGGAACAGGTCCAGGGGCAGGGAAGATGAGGGGATGTTCCCTAGAAAGAGCTGCAGGCGAAGGGGTTCCTCTGGGCCTGGAGAAAGGGAGAGTCGTGCCAGCCCTCTCTCTGATTCAGGTGTGATTGCTGGGTCCCCTGCACCCCCGGAGCTGATCCGAGCCATCATCAGCAAGCTGAACGCAAAGGAGCTTGTGGTGAGTGGTGGCTGGGGCTGAGGCTGTGTGCGGGAGGCAGGCCAGCCTGGGAGTGGGCATGAGCCCAGATCTCCAGGGTAGACCCTCTCGGCCCACCCTCCTTCCAGAAAGCAGATGTGAGAAAATGCAATCTGACCTCATCAGCAGCTGGCGAGTCATGGAGATAGGGAACAACAGGAAGTAAATATTATACATACATAAATTTATACTTATAGAAATCTGGGGAAGAAATGCAGCATGGGGGATATTTGGCAAAGCACCGGTATCCTGCTGGAGCGTCCTGGCAGGCAGGGGCTGGTAGAGTTGGAGTGTGGGCTTAAGACCCTTTCTGGAAACAAGGGGTGGGGCAAGGATCTGATGTTTGTTTCTAAATGGAAGGGAAAGGGGAGCAGACGGAGGGAAGATTCTGGAAGGGTGGCCATCCTGATGACCACCCAGTTCTGGTTCTGAAGGATTTGAGGGTCTTGGCAACAGCTTCTTTGAGAGGAGCCACGGCAGAGGGGCCAGGTGTGATGGAGCCCTCACTGTCAGGTAGAGAGGTGGAGCTGGGTTCATGCTGGAGGCCTGAGTCCCCCTGCCAGGACAGGTCCAGGTGTGGACAGCTCTGTGCATGAGCAGAGGCTGTGGGAGCAGGTGGGGTCAGAGGTGGGGAGGTCAGTAGTTTCTCCAGCAGAAGGCAGAGACCAGTCACCGGGACTGGCTGGACTGGGACCTGCAGTGAGGCAAGGATTGGTGTCAGGACTCCAGTCACCCAGATGATGCTTGGAGAGAATGGTGGGAACCTTGGATGGTATCCCTTATCCCTTTAGAAGGGAGCCCCAGTTCCCCTCCTCTCCCTGCACTCCCCTCTTTGGGGAGGGAGTGCCCTGGGACACTCTCCTCACTAGCCCTGCCCTGTCCCCACCTGTTTAATGGCGACCAGCTTTCTTGGACCTCTTAGTGGGGAACTTGCAGCTGCGGAAGGCGTCCGTGTCACGGATGTGCTGGCCCCTAAACTTGGCAGGCGAGGCACAAGTGGCATCAGGGCGGGAAGTCTTGGCTTCTAGCCACCTGGAGAGACAGCAAAATTCTGGGTGGGGTGGGAAAGAAATGTGGCAATGCTGGGGGTGGGGACTGTGAGGTGTGGGGCCAGGAATCACTTGGCTCCAGGAAAGTCTGGGAACTGTCATCTTCATTTTACAAATGCAGGGCTTGAAGAACTCCCACCTATCAAGTAGCAGATCCAGGCCATATGCCCAGGATGTCTTAGTGCAGAGCCAGTGTATCTCCATTGCACCTCATGAGGGCGGGTAAGCTCTGGGGGTGGCTTGGGGGTGCTCTCACCTCCGGAGGCCCCGGAGCTGGCAGGTACACTTCCAGGGGTTGTTGGTGAGAGTGAGGGACTCCAGGTTGTCAAAGGGGAAGTTGGAGGGCAGCTGGGTCAGGCGGTTGTTCTCCAGATGGACGTTTTTCAGCGTGGTCACACCCACGAAGGCACCATCGGAGAACTGGGGAGCAAAGTGGGCACTAGTGAGCACCCCAGCCCCAGTGTCCAGCCTCTCCCAGCTCTATGGCCCCAGAGGGACAAGGTCTTTCCCTGGACATAAGCAGTAGCACCTTGAGGAGTGTCACAATGTGACCAAGTTGTCTCTGATGATTTAATACAAACAACCACCTTTTGAGATAGCTGGTATTAATTTCAATAAGCAGATGGGAGGGAAAAGTTAAGTCCCTTGCCCAGGGTCACACTAGGGAGTAAACAGTAGCTGTAGGACCACACCTAGCTCCTCTGCCCCTGGCACCACATTCCCTGCACAAACACTGCCACTGGGGAGGCAGCCAGAGTTTGGCCCCAGCGGCCCAAGCTGGCACATGGTGAAGCTGGTCAGTGTTTGGTGGGGTGGGCAGTAGGCCCAGGCTCTCCACAGTCCTAGGGTCCTGGGACTTCCCCCAGCTCTGTCCTCACTGTTCCCTCACTGCCTGCCAGAAACTATTTGTGGAGCCTCCTTGGTGGAGCCTTTGGCCAGGTTGGACAGCTCCAGAGGAAACGTTCTATTGGTGCCCACATCTTGGCCCAGGCGTCACAGATCCTGCCTGGCCTCCCCTGCCCCAAGTCAGTCCCTGCTCCCCCTGCTCTGCTGCCCACTGAAAAGCTGCTCTGGCACTGGGGGAGGGGGGCACAGGGGACTCTGACTTCAGCTGGGTAGGGGCCAGGCTGAAGAAGAGCAGGCTCCATCCCTGCAGACAAAGGTTGGCTGCCTTCCAGGTTTGTTTCTGTCCTTATGTCCATGCCTGTGGCCAGAGAGGGGTGTGACGTTCTCTGGTAAGCAGGCTGTGCTGATGACTGTCTCCCTTACCTTGCCCTGGTGCCTGCCCAAACCTGGCCAAAACCCCTGTGCCAGAGCAATGTTTCCAGACCCCAAAAGGGATTCCACTTGGACCCAAGGTAGCTCCACCTGGCCAGGTGTTGAGCATCACAAGGGAGGAAGGATTCAATGAGGTTGCAGCCAGGAGATGGGTCTGTCTGGTGACTGGGGTGGGGAGGGGACAGTGAAACGCATCTAGTCTTCCCTGTAGGGAGACACCTGGGGACCTGTGCCAAAGGTTGACAATGGTGTGTGGTCCTTGCCTTTGCCCTTCACAGAGCTCTTGGGTGCCATGCCTACAATCTGGGGGAGCCTCTGGTCCCTGGTCCCCATTCCATTGAAATGGACCTGAGAATGCAGTGGAATATGTATGTGGACTAGGGGCGGGGGCATCCACCAGGGCCTCTAGGGTGCGGCGAGGAGGTCTTCCTCAGGTATTTGCTCCCGCCTCACTCCCCA